CAGTGGGAGGAACTTCAGCATGATGGCATGAACAGCTCCATGGGCTACCACCTGGAAAGAAAATGAGCCACGGGTGACAGGCTTCACCTCTGGAAGAGCTGTGACAGAACCACCCTTCCAACACCTACCCAAGGCTGGACACTGTTGAATTTATTTATTTATTTATATTTTTGGTACCAGGGATTGAACTCAGGTCCTTGCGGTTGCACAGCAGGCGGTGAAACCACTGAGTTAAATTCCCAGCCCTGTTGAATTTATTTTTTAAAAAAATCTATACTATGCTTTTCCCACCCTGCATTCCCAATGAGTTTTTTTTTCCTCCCTCCCTGCTCAAATTCTTTTTCAAAAATCCCAGTCTGGGGCTGGGGATTTAGCTCAGAGGCACCATGCCTGCCTCGCAAGCATAAGGTCCTCAGTTCGATCCCTGGTGGCAGTGGTCTAGCCAGGCACGGTGATGCACATCTGTAATCCCAGCTACTTGGCTTTTTTTTTTTCCTGGTACCAGGGATCGAACTCAGGACCTTGCACTTGCCAGGAAGGTACAGCACCACTGAGCTACATCCCTGGCCCTGATCCCAGCTAATTGGGAGGCTGAGTTAGGAGGATCACAAGTTCAAGCCCGGCCTGGACAATTTAATGAGACCTCATGTCAATCAATCAATCAATAGGACTGAGGATGTAGTTCGGTGATAGAGTGCTTGCCTATCACACATGAGACCCTGGATTCAATCCCCACTACTGAAAAAAAAATCCTAGTCTGGTCTCAACTGAAATAATGATCAGATGACATGAAAGCCCGGTCAGGGAGGGAACAAGGTGTGCTCCAGAAGACAGAGTGAGGTAGCAGCTGCTGGGCAGAGGCTCTCTGGCAGGAGAGGTCAGCAGGGCAAAGGTAGACTTGTGTGGAGGCTGAGGTGAGGACAAAGATGACTGCTTCTCCATCCCTCTTCTCCATCTCCTCTCCTTCTGCAGTTGCTCCCCCAGCTCAGCCTTGCTGGGAATAAAGGCAGTTGTGAGTGTGTCCACATTACCTTGACCAGCTGCATGTACTTGTCAATAATTGCTTCTTCCTGAGGAAACTTCTCCTTGAGCCCCTGAATGTATGCTTTCTTCCCACTGTGCATGGGGAACTCCTTCCGGCCAGTAGGCCCTTCGAATACCACTATGTCAAAAGGGGAGCAGAGTGGAGCCCAGTCCAGCTGCCCTTCAGTGATCTGGTCCAAGATAAACCGGCCAAGGTTGCCCTCCTTCATGCGCCCAATATAATGGATTCCTGTTGGGAGTCAGAGAGACAAAAGTGGCACAGAGGTAAGGAGATTGAGCCTTTGAAAGGTGGGCAAGGAAGGAAGTGGAAGAGCATGTCCAGCTCAGGCCAAGTCCATGCCCAGAGAGGACTGCCCACCCCTCCTTTTGGGAGATGTCAGTAGACTCCCCCAGATCCTAGCCCAGAAGGGACAGCTGTGATTCCAGGAGAGAAGATGGCACTTCCAAAACATCAGAAATGCCCAGTATCACCCCACAGTGGCTGCTCCAAGTGCCTTAAAGATAGAGCCATGCCAGGCTGGGGATTTAGCTCAGTGGCACGGAGGCCTGTCTCACAAGCACAAGGTCCTGAGTTTGATCCCCGGAACGGTACTGGAAAAAAAAAAGAAAGAGCCATGCTCTCAGAGTTTTTCCACACAAGCCTTACCTGTGTCAAATTCAAGGCCATTTTCTCCAAAGGTGTGACAACAGCCCCCTGCCTTGGTATGTTGTTCCAGCACCAGGACTCTCTTGCCAGCTTTAGCCAGAATCGCTGCTGCGGCCAGGCCCCCGATGCCACTGCCAATCACCACCACATCGAGCTTCTCTGGCACTCGGTTGGCTGAGAAAGCTTCAGCACAAGGGAGGAGGTGCAGGGAGGTTTCTCAGTCAGGGGCAAGAAAATAAAGAAAGAGAAACCAAAGACTTCTTCAGCTCATACAGTGCAAGAAACCTCTAGAGTGGTTTTAGAGAGGTGCTCTTGACTGAGGTGGCTCAACTTTTTCACCTGGGAATCCTCAGGACCAGCCAGGTCTATGTTTGTTTGTGTGTGTGTGTGTGTGTGTGTGTGTGTGTGTGTGTGTGTGTATTTTAAAAAATAATCTAATAGGCTGGGGATTTAGCTCGGTGGTTCTGCTGCCGCCTGCCTCACAAGCGCAAGGTCCTGAGTTCCATCCCTGGTACCGAAAAAAAGAAAAAGAAAAAAATCCAATACTGCTGTTTCTTTCATTGTTTCAATAAGGGAGCTTGGATCTCTGTTTAGTCTCTCAGGTCAGAAGAGAGAAAACAGTGATGGATGCTTCTTCTGTGCCAAGGCAAACAGGTCTTTTAGGGAATTCAAAGAAAAATCCCTTTCATGAGAAAGTTACAAATTAGCCCCATCTTGTGTGTCTGGCAGTCTCCTCACCAGACTGGGGGCCAGCGAGAGCTGGAAGAGCCTCTGCGCCCTGACCCTGGCACCTCCGAAAGTCGGCCAGGTCTATGTTAAATAGTGGCTTGGTTTGGTGTGAATTGATTTAACCAAGGCCACTACGTAGTACTGGGGGATTTTCACTGCTTTCAAAGAAAGTACAAATCAGGAATCTATGATAGGAACAAAAACAGAGAGGACAACAGTACAGGTGGAGAGTCCTAAGTGCACACATAGAATGCCAGCCAAGGAAGAAAGAAAACAAGGAAGCAGGGCAGAGGAACAAGGCCAAAGCACAGGCTGGCAGCGCTGAGAACTGGAACTGGACATTTTCAAGCTGAATCTCTCTGGAAGATGCAGGATCTGCAGGTGCCAAGAGAGCAGCTAGGCTGTGTGGTGCAGAGGCTTGGGGAAGACAGAGAAGTCATGGCACCGCCCCTTCTCATCCAGAAGTGGAAGGGGGGGTCACTTTAACAGAGGAAATCTGGTATCACCTGCTGCTATACATGTACTTCCAACACAAGGTGTTTCTTTAAACATCACTGCCCCAGAATGGAGACTTGAAATTGTTCAAGTGACAAAAGAACTTGCAAACTTTACTTTTCATATGGTTTTAGAAAGACCCATAGTGAAAAATATATTTTATATCACCGCCTAGGTTGTGTGTGTATATACATATATGACAATAAATAATAAAACTATGTATGATACACTCTGATATCTCTGATGCCTCACATACTTTTGGGGTACTGAGGATTAGAGCATGGGCACCCTACCACTGAGCTACATCTCCAGCACCCACACTCTTTTTTTTTTGACACAGGGGCCCAACAAGTTGCCCAGGCTGGCCCTGAATTTGTGATCTTCCTGCCTCAACCTCCTGAGTAGCTGGGATTACAGGTGTGCACCACTACTGCATTTTAAAAAGCTAATTTAGCCGGGCATGGTGATGCACACCTGAAATCCCAGCACTCCCAGAGGCTGAGGTTGGAGGATTGTGGTAAGCTCAAGGCCAGCCTGGGCTGCATAGTGAGACTGTCTCAAAAACAAAACAAAACAACAACAAAAAGAAAGAAAATGAAAACAAAACTCTAATTGCAACCCATCAAATTCATTTCATAACTCACTGACAGGTCACAACCTGAAAAACAGTTAAGCTATTCATCTGGTTTTTAGATCACCTAGATAAATGGGAGTGACTTGCCAATGGTTATGCTGTGAATTAGAATGAGAGTTCAAGCTAAAACTGATCTCTGAAGCCCAGGCTATTAATCCTTTCACATAGGACAGTATTATTTCTATGTCACATAGAAAAAAAAATCTACAAGTAAGAAGGATGCTACAGGGTCAGGGATTAGCTCAGTGGTGCTGTCACCTGCCTCACAAGCGAAAAGTCCCTAGTTCAATCCCCGTTACCGGGGCGGGGCGGGGCGGGGCGGGGGGGGGCTACGGATCAAATGGGATCCAGTTTTTGTTGAGGTGTTTTGGTTTTAAGCAGCAGAACTCTTTCAATCTTGGAGCCCCACAGTGTGTTTTAAAGATGAGAGTGGGGGCACCTGGTTAATGGGAGGGGATTGGAGCCTGAGGCAGGCACTCTGTTGAACCTCTCCCTAGTTTTAAAATCAGTCCTGAGTTGGGACCACTTTTCTTAAACTGTTCAATCATTTGACTGGCACAACTCAAGCTCCTATGCAGGTTGGGAAAGACGCCTGTGCGGCTCCCGAACGCCCCCCAAGGGTACAGGAAAACGGTCCTAGAACCAAGTGAGGGAAAGTTCTCTATTCCTGTGAGCCGAAGCTATTTCAACTAGCAAGGTCAGGACTGGGCTGCGCCAAGACCTTGGGTCAGTTGTGTCCTGGGTCTGCCAGGGTAGACGCTCTCGACATGGCAGGCTCGAAAACCCGGAGCCTCCAGGTGAGGAAGCCTGCCCCGGACACCCTACTTTTGGGGAAACTGAGGCCCGGGTCAGGCAGCAGCTCGCCCTACAAGAATGGGAAAGCAAACTCGCTAGAAGGTCCAAGCGCAGTCCCAGACCCCAGGGTCATCATCGCTGACCTTGTTTGAGAACCTTCTTCCTGGCCTCCTTGTTGGTCACAAGGGGAGAAGGTGGCCGCTTGACGTCCTCAGAGAAGGGGTTCGGGGAGCATTCACCGAACAGCCCCAGGTAAACTTTGCAGAGGACAGCAAGCAGGAGGATCGCCAGCAACACCAGAGTAAGCCACATCGTGCCGCGCGGGGTCCGAGCAACAGGTCCGCTGGGCCTGGATTCGGCTTTTAAGGCTGTGGAACCGCCCAGCTAGTTTGCCCTTCCTAGTTGGGAAGGCGGGGTCCACTTTGACCATAAATGGACTAGCTTCTCTGGCACGAAGCCAATATCCGACATAGATTGACCCTCCCGGCTCCTCGTACCACTTTACAGCTCCAAATTTTCGGTACCTACTGGGAAATGTAGTTCTGAGGAGGGGGAAGGACTCCGAGAGGCTGCAGAGGGGAGGCACTCCGCACATGCGCAGATGAAGATCAGCCGGGAAAACGCTGGGGACGCTGGGAACGCGTCGGGTGAGCGGGGAGTGGGAGGTCAGAGAGGGGAGGTTTTGAGGTGCGGGCGGTAGCCTCGGAGCGGCCCAAGACTGAAGGTTGCAGGACACAGTTTTTCTTGGGAGGCAGAAGACCCGGGTTCTGGTCCCGGTTTTGCCTAGGACTACCTGAATTTCCGGAGGCTCATTTTCGTAAAGCAGTGAGAAAGTTTCTGTCCTGAGTCCCCCACAGCCTCTGGTTACCTGAGTTGCTTGATGAATTCAGACCCCTGTTGAAATCAAGCATCCGGCTGTGTGCCTCTCCCTGACCGGTAGCGGTGGCCGCAACAATCCTACCCCATCCCCCTAAACGTTGCCTCTGGTTGGGTCCCACTCTGTGGACAGGGGACAGGTTGCTGCTCAGGGACAAGGTTTTGTGGAAGGATCAGGCAACGATTGTCACACCTATGTGCGCCTTTGTACTTAAGGATGGCCCAGCATCCAAATTTTGTAATTCAGAAAGTTTAAATTCCAGCAAGCAGTTGGAAAGTCACACCCCCTTAACGTTGCAGCTTGAGAGGGATCTATTTTTATAGGAGGCCAATTTCCATAGGTCCAGCTATCAGAATGCCTAATACTGGTAGGAGCGACTTCGTAACTTTGAATACTTGCTTGTTTGACAAGAGTTTTTGTTATCTTTCTGATACAGATAGTAACTGTTCCTGTTGAAGCCTTCAGCAGTGCTTGGGGATGTGTAAAGCTGGTCATGCTTCTGCGCTGCTTAGCTCATTTCCACACAGAAGCAGAAGAGCCTTCCTGAGATTGCTGTCATCCTACCTGCTGGCCAAGGTTGATGGATATGTGTTTTTTTGTCATATGCTGTCATGGAGGCAATGCTGAAAGGAAGAGTGAAGGGAGGCAGATGTCAAGGTCCCAGTGAGAAAAGACTAGATCCTGGGATACTGCAACCGCGGGGTCGCTGCCTTCCCCTCTAAATTATACTGAGCTAGATGTCCAGCCCAAGAGCCAGGAGGTATCCCTCTTCTTAATGGTAATAATCAGTATGTCCTGACAAAGGTATCAGGTTGTTTGGGTATTTATTTATTTATTTTTGAGCAAAGGTTGTTCAAGCTGGCCTTGAACTATGTAGTCCAGGCTGGCCTTGAACTTTCAGTGATCCTCCTGCCTCAGTTTCCTGAGCACTGTGATTATAAATGTACGACACCATGCCCTGATATTTTGTTTTTTGGTACTGGGGATCAAACTCAGGACCTTGCACTTTCGAGGTGGGCACGGCACCACTGCGCTAAATCCCCGGCCCTGTTTTTTTGGTTTTTGAAACAAGTCTCTCAATGCAGTTGAACTCACTGTGTACCCCAGACTGGCCTAGGACTCACAGCGATCCTCCTGGCTTAGCGTCTTGAGTACTAGGATTACAGGCTTGTACCACTATCCCTGGCAGCCAGTTCTTAGAGAATCTATATTCCCACAGATAGGTCACCTTCTTTGTCACCTGTGTCTGTGAAGCATGATTGTCAGTTGCATGTGAGTCTGTCCAATCACAATCCAGATCTTTTATGAGATAGGCATCCACGATTCCCAGTTCCCCATGGTAAAGTATCTAACCCTTGTCCAGCCCTTTTCCTGAGGCAGCAACCTGAGATGAAAGACTCAGAATTGGGGCTGGGGGTATAGCTCAGTGGTAGAATGTTTGCTTAGCATGCATGAGGACCTGGGTTTAATCCCCAGCATCAAAAAACAAAGGCAAAATCACACACTTAGAATTGGTCAGACTGGCCAAGTAGCTGCCACATATATAATATTGACAAGCTAGGCATGGTGGCACATACCTATAATCCCAGCACTCTGGGAGCCTGAGGCAGGAGGATCATAAATTCAAGCCCAGCCTTGGCCATGTAGCAACTTAGCAAAGGTCTGTCTCAAAATGAAAGGACTGTGGCCTGGTGCTATAGCTCAGTGTCACCTTGCCTGCCTGGCAAGTGCAAGGTCTTGAGTTTGATCCCTGGTAACAAATAAAGGGCTGAGAGTGGAGCTCAGTGTGAAGGCCTTGGTTCAATCCCCAACAACAACACCACCAAAAAAAAAAGGGCAAAACTGCAAAAGGTTAAAATGTTGTGTTGAATTTTGAGTTTCTGCTATCCGAGGAACCCAACTTGTGTTTGGAACCTAAGCAAAACCTGAGCTCTTCTGTTAAGTGTACCCACCAGTGTTGCAGTTATTTAGCTTCACCCCTTTGATAAGCTGGCCAGGGTCCTAGTGCTGTTGTCCCCAGAAACAGAACCTACAGCTTAGGGTAGTGCTGCTGGCTTTGGACAACGACTGCCCAGCCACCAGACTCCTGCACAGTCCCTTGCCATCAGTGGCATGGGTAATAAGACATAGGCATCTGGCCAAGACAGCTTGTTTATTCAGAATGAATTCACTGCTGCTTAAAGATTTTAAAAGTCATTTTTTTCTTAAAGGTATAGCTGAATGATGAAACCAGTTTTCTTTCTCTTTTTCTTTTTCCAGAGCTGAGGCTCCAAAGTCTTCGGGGACTTCTTTGAGTACTCCTAGGAACCTGCTACACCCTGGTGATGGCACACAGGGACTGTTTTCTTACTCTTGGTCTGAATGACTGCCAGGGAGGAAGGCAGAGGTAGAGCAGTTGGATCCTCAGCTCTCCTCATAGCTTCAGATCTCAGACTTATTCAACCCCTTTCTGACCCCAGGACAAAGCTCACTTGAACAAATGATTCTGAGTCATGAATGAAAAATCTTGCTCTTTGCATAATGAGAAAGGATTAAGAGAAGGACAGGTAAGCACTCCTATTTGGGTAGTGGCTTGGGATGTATCATTATAATAAGGCAAAAAGGGCCGGGGACTTAGCTCAGTGGTGCCGCCACCTGCCTTGCAAGCGCAAGGTCCTGAGTTCGATCCCCAGTACCAAAAAAAAAAAGTAATAATAATAAGGCAAAAAATATATCAAGAGAATGTGGAATTTTAGAAATATGTTTGGAAAACTCTCATTATAGCTTTTGGTTCTATAAAGGAGATTCTGGGCTGGGAGTGTAGTGGTCTGGGGGCAGACTACTTGCCTAGCATGTGTAAGGCCCTGGGTTCAATCCCCAGCACCACAGAAAAGAAAAGGAGATTCTGTTCGCCAATAGTCCTGCAATAATGACCCTATAATTGTAAGCATGTCATTTGCAAATGGATGAGCATGTCTGTTAGATAAATTACTAGAATGTAGTTGTCCAATATCTGGAAAACATGTCTGACCTTGTCAAGTATGATCAAGATGCAGAGATGGGAACAGAGTACTCTCCGGTGTGTTGTAACCCTTGACACTCTATACACCATAGTGTTTTATCACACTTTTTGGTCTTTGAAAGCCGGGTACCTGAAACATTATCTCAGTTTCTACATTTAGCTCAGCTACATTTGGCATTCTCTCATGAGTGAGATTGTTTAAGAATAATGGGCCAGGGATTTAGCTCAGTGGTTCTGCCGCCTGCCCTGCAAGCGCAAGGACCCAAGTTTGATCCCCGGTACCAAAAAAAAAAAAAAAAAGAAAGAATATTGTGTGTTTCCATTTGTGTAAATTGCCCATATCCTTTGGCCATTTTTGTACTAGCTTTACTTTAGGAGGTTTGTTTGTGGTGTTTGCATTGTTTTTGTTTGATCTTTATTGAGACAGGGTCTTGCTATATAGTTCAGGCTGGCCTTGAACTCACCATGTAGCTCAGGCTGGCCTCAAACTCATGACAGCCCTCCTGCCTCCGCCTCCCAAGTGCTGGGATTACAGGCATGCAACACCATGCCCAGCTATTTGTTTTTTAACTTACTTATTTGTAGAATTTTTCTTTTTACATATTAAGAAAACTAGCCTTGTATCTGTAATATGAGCTGCAAAGAGTTGGTCATGTTTTTCTTCTCATTGTTTTGCCACATTTTATTTTTAACACTAGTAGGTGAAAGGTGTGGTTAAACAAAAAAGCCAGGGGAAATGGCTCACTGAACTTAACTTACTCAGAGTCCTGAGATTTTTTTTTTTCTTTTTTTTTGGTACCGGGGATTGAACTCGGGTCCTTAGCTTGCGAGGCAGGCAGTGGAACCACTGAGCTAAATCCCCGGCCCCTGAGATCTTTTAATAGTGCTAAAAAAATCTATAAGTTTTTTTTTTTGGGTACTGGGGATCGAACTCAGGACTTTGCATTGGGATGCAGGTGTCTGTAAGCTTTTTGAGATAATATTAACTAAGTTTTTGGAGTTTTTCTCTTTCATTTCTTTTTCTTTTTTTCTGTGTGTCTGCATGGGTGCGTGTGTGTGTGTGTGTGTGTGGTGCTGCTGATTAAACCCAGGGCCTTACACTTGTTAGGCAAGTGCTCTACACTGAGCTCTATCGCCAGCATGCAGTTTTTCTTCAGACCGTATTAAACTGAGGTTTTTCTGCACAGTAATTCTTGCAGCTGATTTCTCTGGAATTCATTCTTTTGTGATTCTGGGAAAAGGGGCAGCCTGTAAACTGTGGTCTGGGGAATTGGAATGTGCCTGAGAGGTTGACTCTGGTCTGTCTTACAGGTTGAAAGAGTGTCTGCTGGGTGTTCTCCATCACATGACAAGAACAACAGTGCTCTCGCAGCCTTCAGAGGAATCCCTGTACATATATCACCCACACTGCAGCACCTCCTGCTAATACAAGCTCCTGTTTCATGCTACTGTGGGGTTCCAGGCACTGTGCTAGGCCCTGGGGACACGGGAGGGCATAGACTCTACTTCCAGGAGCTCACACTTCTGGAGAGGGGTTGTGGGGCTCACATGTGCCACACACCTCTGTTTTGTAATTGCCGCAGTGAAGCAGAGTGTATGACGTAGCAGGAATACCAAAGGCACACCACAGTCTCATATGGGTGGTGTGGATTTTTGTTTATTTACTATCATGGCGATCATACACTTATCCCTCACATTACACAGCTTCTCTGTCATAGTTGAAGTTTTCCATGTCCCTCCTTTATGATTGATTTTAGGCTGGGGATTTAGCTCAGTGGCACTGTGCCTGCCTCGAAAGCGCAAGGTCCTGAGTTCTATCCCCAGTACCAAAAAAAAAAAGACAAAAAGACTGACTTTAGGGTGGGGAGTCTAGCTCTGTGATACTGTGCATGCTTAGCACATGGATTCAATTCCCAGCACCAAAATCAAAACAAACAAAATAATCGACTTTATTTTTTTTTGTTTTTGTTTTTTGTAGTTAGGCTGGTTTTGCCCCCCCCCCCCCCGCCCCAACCAGGGCTCGAAGTCAGCCTTACACTTTCAAGGCAGGGGTGGCGATGTTGAGCTAAAGCCCCTGCAGGCTGGTTTTGGACTCACTGTATAGCCCAGGCTGGTCTCAAACACATGGCCATCCTTCTGCCTCAGCCTCCTGATTGCTGGGATTACAGGGATTGACCCCCCCTAAAACATTGATTTTACTCAGCCCACCAGGGTAGACCAGACCCATTTGGCCTCCAGATTCAAGGATATTCAGTACAGGGTGGGTGGGAAGTACTGGGGGGTGCCAGACTTGACCCTCTCTGAAGGTCACCTTCCCCCTACCCCCAGATCTCGCAGCTGAAGAACCACAGCATTCTCCGGTCCCTGACTGCAGAAGCAAATGGATGGGAGCCAAGTGGTAAGGACCCCTCCAGGACCCTAGGAGTCTGGGTGGGACCTACTCTTCATCTGAATTTCCCTTGCTCTTTGTCCTGAATTTTGTAGTTTTTCTTTTTCTTTTTGTCTTTTTGAAAACCATTTGTTAGCATTTTGTCCTGTGGTTTCAAGCCACCAGGACACAGGCCCCCCCAACACCCTTAATCTTCTCCTCAGCTCTTCTGCTGAAGAATTTGGCCTTCATGATGACAGGTTGCTTTGGGAGTTTTCCTTTCCCAAGAACTTTGTAGTAGCCCAATAACACTACATCAATGATGGGAGCTACTCCAGTCTTGTTTTTGGCAGCATTTACTAGTGTCTGCTCACTGACTAATGTCCACAATTTATCAAGGTTGAGAGCTGGGTAGAAGCTCTGGTTTCTTTTTAAGTGGTAATGCCTCATACCAACCTTCCCAAAGTAACCTGGGTGATATTTGTCAAAGTTCATCCTGTGGTGATGCATGCCACCAGCATTACCCTGGCCTTCTGGGTGCTTCTGGTGCTTGCCAGTGCAGCCGTGGGTGTGGCTCACATGGCCCCAAAGTTTCCAGGTCTTCCTCAGTCTGGATGACATGTTGGCCAAGATGAAATTTTGATGATTTTTGTAGATTTATCATTCCTCAAGGAAAATTAGAATCAATGCTGGATCAGGGGTCAGTTTCTCTGCCAACAGTTTATGGTGTGCTTCTGGGTAAGCCATATAATCTTGAGGTCTGCAGTGGAAATAATAATACCTCTCTTTTTTGGGGAAGGGTGGCTGAGACAGGGTCTTGCTATGTAATCCAGGCTGGCCTTGAACTTACTAAGTAGCCCAGGCTGGCCTCAAGCTCGTGGCAGTCCTGCCTTAGCCTCCTGAGTACCACCATGCCTGGCAGTAATACCTCTCTTATCCTCTAAGAGATACTCACTGCCTGCCTTGCAAGTGCAAGGTCCCAAGTTCGATCTCCAGTACCAAAAAAACCCCCCAAAAAACAAAACAAAAAAAACGTAGAGCTCTAAGAGATACTATGAAAATGAGGCAGTATAGCCAGGCATAGTGGTAGACATCTACACTCCCAGTGCTGTGGGAGGCTGAGGCAGAAGGATCTTAGGTCAGGCTCAGGCTCGATTTAGCAAGATCCTGTCTCAAAATAAAAAAATATAGAGAAGGTTTGGGATATAGCTCAATGTGAAGGCCCTAGGTTCAATCTGAACTACCACAAAAAGAAGAGAAAGGAGAGGAGGGAGGGAGGAAGGCAGGCAGGAAGGAAATGATGCGGTATATGTGAAAAGGCTTTGGAAAGATATCCTGCTTTATCTGGTTTACAAAGCCCTTTGCTGTACAATATTGTTTTAGTTGTGTTTGTTTGTTTGTGTTTTGTTTTGTTTTGGTACCAGGGATCAAACTCCAGTCCTTGCACTTGCGAGGCAGGCTGCGCAACCACTGAGCTAAATCCCCAGCCCTGTATTTTGTTTTTTGAGACAGGTTCTTACTGTGTCATCCAGGCTGTTCTTGAACATGCAGGCATCTTGCCTCAGCCTCCTATGTGCTGGGGTTACATGTGTCTGCCAGCATAGTTCAGCCCCATACTGTACTTAAAGCTCATTCCACTTGCTAATTTATTATGGAGAAAGACGCTCATAATTCAGAAGCACCTGTTCTGGAGTCAGATACCTCCAGTTTAAATTCTGACTCTCTCACCTACATGGCTTTGAGAAAATTACTTCATTTTTCTAATCCTTTCCTCAATTGTTTGTTTTTGGGGGGTTTTTTTGGTACTGGGGATTGAACTCAGAACCTTGTGCTTTCGAGGCAGGTAGCAGAACCACTGAGGCAAATCCCAAGCCCTCCTTTCCTCAATTATAAGATAGGGAGGGGCTAGGAGTATAGCTCAGTGGTAAAGCACTTGCGTGGCACACTAGAGATCAAAGCCAAAGCTTTGATCTCTAGCACTGCAAAATACAAGTAAATTTTAGAAACAGATTATATCAGAACACCTATGATAGGAACTTTGTAAGGATTAAATGTAAGGGCCCGGGAGGTAGCTCAGTGATGCCACACCTGGTCCTGAGTTCAATCCCCAGGACTTCAAAAAAAAAAAGAAAAAGGATTAAATGTAGATGAAGTGCTTTACACAAAATATAAATTGTAGTTAGTGCTTATTGTTATCTTTCAATCTTATATACTGAAAACATAATCTCCAGAAATACTGAAGTTTTATAAATATTCAAATGTAGAAAAATTAATTGGACATCAGTTTTTCTTTCTTTCTCTTTTTTTCTCTTTCTGTAGTGCTGGTGATTAACCTGGCCCTCAAACATGCTAGGTACTGTTCTGCCACTGAGCCACATCCCCAGCCCTACAAAGTCTTTTTTATTGGAATTTTATCTCTACCACATGGTGGCCAAACCAGCACTGATAAACTAATAACTCTTTTTTTTGGTACCTGGAATTGAACTTGAGTCCTTGAGCTTGCGCAGCAGGTGGCGAGACCACTGAGCTAAATCCCCGGCCTGATAAACTAATAACTCTTATCATAAATGGCAAGTACTTTATATTTTAATACAACTAGCATATTTGTGCCAGCTCTTTTAGTCATATTAAATAATTATACTTTTTTGGGGATTGTTCTTAGCTAATTTAAATTAGTAGGCTGATTAAATCACCATTGCTCTTTAGTTTATAAACAGAAGCAATGCAGAAGAAAGGAGATATTTAAAAAGGAAAAAAAGGGCTATTTTATCATGGGCTGTGTTAATTGTCCTGAAGTTTCGTCCCCTACCCTGTGCTCCTCTGTGGGTCAGAGAAGGTAGTCTTTGTGATAGGATCACTTTCAGGGTGGGAGGGTTGTTCCAAGAGAACAGGAATAGCTCTCACCTGGTTCGAGTGTTTGTCTCCAGTTTTTGATCACCAGCTTGATACCCTTAGCTGAGACCTTGTACTTTGTACTGACCAGTGCATGTGACAGCAGAGTCCCACCCTGCACCTGCCTCTCTCACTTTGATCAAATTGAGTGTGGGTGAGGGAGTGTTGGCTGAAAGATTGATCTGATTGCTTGTAGATGGGCATCAGAAGGTTGAGGCATCAGTGAAACTGTATGTAGGTGAGGACTGAAGGTAGGGAGATCAGACATTCAGGACCTGGGCCCATCTCACTGCTCCCCCTGACCTCTGCCCTGCTGGCCCTGAGCCCACAGTGGTGGCAGTCATAATAGCTGACATTTATTGAGGCCTGACCTTTGGCCTACATACTCTCCTAGGAGGCTGGAGAATTGCCTCATCTGTGCAGCAGCTCCATGAGAAGTCCCAGTTGATTAAGTAACTTGTCCAAAGAAATCCAGCTAGTTTTTATGGAAACTTTGTACAAACCTTTACACACAGTTTGTCCAGTGTGCTTTCAGCAACTCTCCTCTACTGTTTCCCCACCACTTTTTCTTCCTCATTTTCCATTGATGTTTGGTAGCATTTTAACCTGTAAGCATATGCTCTGTCTTAGTCCATTTCTCATTGCTGTAACAAAATGCCCAAGGTTTGGTAACTTTATAAAGAAAAGAGGTTTGTTTGGACTCAGTTGTGTTCCAAGGTCTTGGGGGTGCCTCGGTGATGGGTTGTTGGTGTCAGAGCCCCATGGTAGTGCAGGGCATCACATGGCAAGAAACAGGGAGCACATGCATGTCTCCTCTGGTGTCTCTTCTTGTGAAGTCACCAGTGTGTAGTCATGGGAGAGCCACCTGAGTGACCCTTTCTAACCCTAACCATCTCCCAAGGGCCCTAACTCTAAACACCATTGTCCTCGCCAGGTAGTTTCCTGTCATGTGATGGCCTCAGCCAAAATTGTGAGGCAGAGAGGGGCTGTTCTGGCCTACTTTACTATTGTAGCTGGAGAGATCCTTTTGTTTTGTTTTGTTTTTGGAACTGGAGATTGAACCCAGGACCTTCACACTGAGCACATCCCCAAGCTAGCTATGTATGTGTGTGTGTACGTATTTATGTATGTATTGGCTTTTTGTGACAGGGTCTCACTGTGTTGCCCAGGCTGGCCACGATCTCATGACTATTCTCCTGCCTCAGCTTCCCGAGTGCTGAAGTTATAGGCATACACCACTACACCCTAGCTAGATCCTCATTTTGGTAATGAAGTCTCCATGTTTCACATTGTCTGTTGATGCCCTGTATAATAAATCGGAAAAGTTAGTGACAGAAGACGCCACTGGTCATTTCGGCTACAGGGTAATAGCTGTGATTTGGAGAAATGAACTGTGTGGTAGCTACAGAGAGCCTATCCTGCTGCTTCTTTCCTCTCACTTTTTCCTCCTCTTACTTTGCTTTCATTCATTTGTTCATTCATCACTTGTTTGTTGAGCGCCTGCTGTGCATCAGCCACTGGGCTGGGCTCTGGAGAGCCTGCCCTGTGCGGCTCACTATGTAGTGGGAGAGACAGGTGAGCCCTGCAGTAAGCTCAGGATGTCAGCACCTCACACAGCAGTGGCTCCAGCCCATACTGAAGCAGCTGAGAAGGTACCTGGGTGAGGGAGATGCTGGATCTGACAGGGATGAGGAGGAGCTGCTCTGGCAGGCTCGGGACTGAGGCCCAGCAGGCTGTGGGAGGCTCCAAGGTGGGAGAGGCCAGAGCACTCTGAGGATGTCAGCTTCTTGGCAGCCTAGAATTGTGCAGGGACTTCGGCCCCATGCTGTCTGGTGTGGGTCTGACCATGAGGGTTAGGGAGAATCCCTGGAGTTTGGAAGAGCAGGTGGGGGCATCAGCTCTGCCCTTTCAGAAGGTCACTCTGGCTTCCATGTGAAGAGTAGTGGGGAGGTGACAAGATCCAAGGCAGGGGGCCAAGGCTGGAATCTGTGATAGTGGCCCAGACACACCTAGGTCTCACAGGGTCTCCTTCTCGCCCCATTGCAGCTGTAAGCCCAGAGGTGCTCAGAGCCCAAGAAGAATGGGAAGCTGTGGACACCATCCAGCCAGACGCAGGTAACTGTCGGAGTGGTGCTGTCACTACGAGGCGCAGCTGCTGCAAAGGCACTGTTCCCACATGTGGCCAATTCGTCCATGAGTTGAGCATTAGGAGACGGAATTCTTCAGTGTTCTCATTTTACCTGTGTGACCTAAGGTCTCTTTCCCCAATCCAAAGACGATGACATCTGTCTGCAGAGGAAATGGGAATGAGTGCCACAGGGAAGGGAGGCCGTCCCTGCCCATCTTCTACCCAGCCCTGAGGGAACACAGAGTTCCTCCTCAGGGTCCCTTGGTCAAAGTTAGCCTCTTTAGGTGACAGGGTGGACAGAAGGAAAGAGGCAGGAAGCCTGGGTCCCTGCATATGCCTGGTCAGGTTGTTCACTGAACAAGCAAGGTCCTGGAGAGGGGGGCTAAAGGCATCCACTGGAGGGCCCTGAAGGCTGGGTACAAGCTGTCTCGAGAACTCTCCTGACAGGTTTGGATACAGCTATGGGCGGGCGGAACCTGGATCTGGATCGGGCCTGAGCCCACTGAGCTTCAGGGAGATGTTACGGTGAACAGTGTCCTTGTCCGGCATCGCCTGTGTTGCTGATGAGAAGTTCGTTCCCTCTAGGCTATGGAAAGGTGGGGGATCCTGTACAGGCACAAGAAGGCACAGTAGAAATTAGGAAGGGCACCCAACAAATCAGTGGCATGCTCCTACGTGGGTTCCTCCTCCAAGCAGTGACTTGCTCCCTCTGAGATGAGTGGGGTTAGGTGGAGCCTAGCAGGACAGGTCTGTGCCCTACTCATTGCACAGGGCAGCCAGCAAGACTCCACATAGCATAGTCCAAGAAGAGTCAGCAGGCGGGGAATGCCAGCTCCTTGAAAGAGAATGGGTTGTACCTGTAGGTATCTGCCCTTCTGCTGGAAGCCTTGGAGGTGGCAGCCAGGAGGCCCTCAGTAACTGTCTGGTGGTAGAATGGCTACTGTCACAAGCCCTCAGGTGTCCTCCCCTTTGCCCCAGGGAGCCAGGCCAGCTCAGACCAGCCTGGGCAGCTCATCTCCTTCACTGAGGCCCTGCAGCATTTCCAGACTCTGGACCTCTCCTCCTTCAAGGTACAGCAGTGGGGAGGTTTGGGGTCTTGAGCAAATTCCTTTCTCCCACTAGGGTAGGACACTGGGCAAGCAAGATGGAAGCTTCCAGTTGAGGACCCAGCCTGACTTGAGAAATCTTGGGGCACAGTATCACAAGTGACCAAGGACTCATGATTTGTGCAGGGCCCTAGTAGCCTTGGGGGAACTGTGCCCCAGGAACCATATGGCCTTATCATTTGGGAACCCGTATAGCCCCTCTCCTGCTCTTCCTTCGCAGGGTAGCTCTTGGTGGAGAGGAGGCAAACTATCCAGAGAGCTGGGTGATTCATGGCCAGTGGATGAAAATTCCCTCAAAGAACCAGGGACCATTTGGGAATTTAAGAACTAGGTGATGAATGAATCTTCGTGAGAATAAAAGCTGGGGAGCTCTTTCCGACACCTTGAGTGATCAGTGACCAGTAGGAAATTTACAGGAAAGAGATTTCAGATCTTCAACCTAAAACCTGATGTAGGCAGGAGAGGCTGAAGACAGAAATGGAGTTGCTTGAGCCCGGGGATTTAGCTCAGTGGCGCCACGCCTGCCTCGCAAGTGCAAGGTCGAGTTCCATCCCTGGTACCAAAAAAAAAAAAAGAAAGAAATGGAGTACATTGATGTGATCCAGAGAGCCAGAAGCTACCAAAATCGGAACATTCTAAGGGCAGAAGCTGTGGGCCTGCCCGTGAGAGGCCAGCACGGCCTAGTTGGGAAGGTGCTGGTCATGGCCCGAGGCTGTAGCTCCTCTCAGAGGTGTCTCTGCAAGAATCCCACTAAGCTCCCTTCCCCAATTGCCTTCCCACCGGAAGTTGAGAGGGGTGCTAGATTGTGTAATTCAGGGATTCAGAGAGCAGAGATGACATAGAAAGTGTTGAGGCAGCCCTACTGGGCGTCTTGGCCTGGCTTTCTTCTGGCCACACTATGTGTGTGTCCCAGGCTGTGCATCTGTGCCCTACTTGGCAATTAGTGGCACAGCCAGTTCTGGAAAAGCCCAAAGGACTGAATGCAGAGAACTGGTTGATGGTGCCTACACCTGGGGCATCTCTTTCTCCTTGCAAAGAACCTGGGAGCTGGAAGAGCCCATGTCTGAGGACCCAGAAGGTGCCTCACAGTTGTTGCCCCTTTCCCTGGCCCTGAGAACAGCCACTTAGCTGGGAGAAGTGAACGAAATCTGAGACCAGTGGTAAGATGGTTAAGGCAGGTGAACCCAGCACTCTGCCCATTGTGCCAACTTCCTCCCCAGAAGAGAATCCAGCCAACTGTTCGAAGGACTGGGCTTGCCGCCCTCCGGCACTGCCTCTTTGGGCCGCCAAAGCTCCACCAGGGCCTTCGGGAAGAGAGGGACTTGATCCTGACCATTGCTCAGTGTGAGTGCATGGGATGCCACAGAGCAGGCACTGCATGTGGTCAGGAGGAGCGGCCACCTGCCCGCCAAGGCTGAGGCTGAGCTGGGCCTTTGCATGCACCATGCTGGTGGGTGAGAATGGGAGCAGAGAACAGGGTGTCCGAGCTCCACCCAGTCCTCCCCTGAGGTTTGGTTGGGTGGGGTGTGGGTGTGTTTTGGGGCAGGTGGCCTGGATAGCCAAGACCCAGTGCATGGCCGAGTCCTCCAGACCATCTACAGGAAGCTGACGGGATCCAGGTTTGACTGCGCCCTCCACGGAGACCACTGGGAGGACCTGGGCTTCCAGGGTAAGAGAGAGAAGCAGATTGCCTTCCTTCCAATGTCAGGACTAGAGTGAGAGGCCACAGCATCCTGTCCCAGCCACACCAGCAGCACGAGGAGGGCCATCTGGGGGAGGCAGATGCAAAGGCTCAAGGTGTGGCACACTTGCAGCATTTGAAAAGTAACAAGGACGGTGGCCCATGCCTGTAATCCCTTGGGAGGCTGAGGCAGGAGGATCACTGGGAATTTAAGGCCAGTCTGAACTATATAAGGAGAACCTGTTACGCAAAAAAAGAGAAAGAATGAAAGATAGCAAGGAATGTGACTGATGGGGACAGGAGAGTGACAGGAAGAAAGATCATGCAAGCTGTCGTAAAATGTTTACAGGAGATGGAAGACACTGAAGTGATAAAACTGGGAATCTGATTTGCTTAGGATTTTTCCTCTTTTTTATGGAAAAAAGTTGTTTTTTTTTTTTGGTATCGGGGATCAAACTCGGGTCCTTGCACTTGCGCAGCAGGCGGCGAAACCACTGAGCTAAATCCCCAGCCCAGAAAAAAGTTTATTTTTAAAAATTGAAACAAAATAATTTCCCTTGTTTTTGGAGTTTGTACTTTTTTTCCCCAAAACCATATCAAGTTACATGTGTGTAGAAAGGGAACTCTTTTTGATTTGTTTTTTTGATTTTTTTTTTTTTTTTAAGACAGGGTCTTACTATGTAGTTTAGGCTGGCCTTGAACTCACTATGTAGCCCAGGCTGATCTCAAACTCATGGCAATCCTCCTGCCTCATCCTCCCAAGTGCTGGGATTAGTTATGTGCCACCATGCCTGGCTAGAGAGGAAACTCATAATTGAAAAGGAAATTTTATATACTCATAGTTTGTTAATAGTGCCAGTTGTTCAAGCCCCTGTTGTCTTCCTCATCTGTAATGTGTCTTTGCTATGTCTTCTCAGTGCATTGTCCTCTCTGTATATAATGTTACAATCTTTGTTCTGACCATCAGACCTAATTTTAAAAACTGGAGGAAGGGCTGGAGATGTAGCTCAGTGGTAGAGCACCTCCCTCACCTGCCTGAAGCACTGGGGGCCATCCCTAGTACTGCAAAAACAAAAGCCAACCTCTGAAGGAGAAGGAGAAGGAGAGTCTGATGTGTTCACCCGTTCGTTCACTCTGCATTGTTCTTCCTTCCTGACGTTCCAAAACTCCCTCTTTTATCGCATTCTTTCCATTGCAAGCACTTCCTTTAGCTGTTCTTAGTCTGCTGGAGACAAATTCCCATAGGTTTCTTTCATCTGACAGTGTCTTGATTTCCCCTTCTCTCAGAGGTTCTCTGAATATAGAGTTCATCCAGGTTTTTTCTTTCCGCACTTGAAAATGTGTTGCTTCCTCAGGCCTCTATAGTTCCTCAAGAGAAATCTGCTTTCCTGTGAATGGTCCATCCCTTATACATAAGGAGCTGTTTTTCTATCTCTGCTTTCAAGGTCTTTCACTGGTCTTCAGTTTTCAGGACTTTGTAGTGTGGTATGGTATGGGTCTCTTCAGGTGGATCTCAGCTCAGCTGCTGCAGTCTTTCGGTTTGTGTCTTTTGCTAAATTTGAGCAATTTCAAGCCATGCTTACTTTTTTTAAAAATAAATTTTATTTTATCCCATCCCCCCTTAAGCCCCCTCCCCTCCCTATGTACAAAAGCTTTGTTTCCTTTTTTTCCTTCTATTTTCACTTTTTTTGTCCTTTCCTTCCTTCCCCCCTCCCTGTTCCCCTTCCCATATGAACACTTTCTTTCTTTTTTTTTTTTTCATTTGAACACTTACTTTCCATTTGCCAATATCCATTATACATTTCAGTCCTTATTTCCACTTTCGGTTTCTCATACCAGAGAAACAATGTGATATTTAAACATGTGTCTAATTTATTTCACTTAAGAGTATGGTCTCAAGGTGCATCCATTTAGCTATAAATGTCTGAAGCTCATCCTTCTTTATGGCAGAGCAGTCTTCAAAGTAAGCTTGAAGACATCTTCAGCCCCACACTTTCTCCTCTCTTTTGGGACTCAGATGATGCAAAAGCTAGGTCTTAGTTCATTGTTTAGTCTTTGTTGAAGCCTCATAGAACTGTGAGGCTCTGTTCCATCTGGTTTTGTTTGCTTTGCCTGTTTTTTCTTTCCCTTTTATTCAAATTGGATAATTTCTATTGTTCTATCTTCACATTCACAGATTCCTCTTTTTTTTTTTTTTTTTTTTTTTTTTTTGAGATAAGGCCTCCCTTTGTGTTGAGGCTGGCCTCGAACTCATGGCAATCCTCCTGCCTCTGCCTCCCAAGTGCTGGGATCACAGGCGTGTGCCACCACTCCTGGCCACAGATTCCTCTTTTATCTCCGTTCTCCTATTGAGCCCATCCTGTGTGTGTGTGTGTGTGTGTGTGTGTGTGCATGCGCGCGCGTGTGTTTATTTGTTGGTGTGTTTTTGAGACAGGGTCTCACAGTATAGTTCAGGCTACCCTTTGAACTCACTGTGTAGCTCAGGCTGGCCTCAAACTCATGGCAATCCTGTTGTCCCACCTCCTGAGTGCTAGGATTATAGTCTTGTACCACCACGCCAAGCCTTGTGTGTTTTTAGATTTAGTTACCATATGTTCAGTTCTAAGGTTTCTAATTGATTCTTCCTTATGTTTGCTATTTTTTTACTGAGACTAGTTTTTTTTCAAAGTGGGGCCGGAGGTGTGGCTCAGCGGTAGATCTCATGCTCAGCATCTAGGGTGGTAATGAATACCTGTAATCCTACCTATTTGGGAGGCTGAGGCAGGAGGATCACAAATTTGAGGCCAGCTTGGGCAACTTAGAGAGAAACTGTCTCAAAATTTAAGATACAAAATTAAATGAATGGCTGGGGATGTAGCTCAGTGATAGAGCACTTGCCTAGCATGTGAGCCCCTAGTTTCAATCCCCAGCTCTACAAATATAAATAAATAAATAAATAAACAAACTGTATAGATATAATTTATTATTTAAATACATGTATATATATTCACTGATAATTGCTTATTAAAGGGATTTCATAACTGGTGTAGTAATTTTCTACTATTGCTGTAACAAATTTCTACAAACTTAATGGCTTAATACGATACAAATTTATTATCTTCTAGTTCTGTGGGTCAGAAGTCTGACAAGGATTCACTAGAGAAGATCAAGGGTGTCTGCAGTGCTGCATTCCTTTTTGGAGGCTCTAGGAAAAATCCATTTCCTTGCCTTTTGCAGCTTCCAGAAGGCCTCCTGCCTTTCTCTGTCTTCAAATCTGGAACAGTGTCTCTGCTCCTCAGTCCATCCTCATGTCTCTCGCTCTGGCTCTGTGCTTCTGCCTCTCTCTTCTGTTTCTGTGAACCCTTCTTATTATAAGGGCCACCCAGATAACCCAGTATAATCTCCCTTTCTGCTGATTAGCAACCTTAATTTTACCTTCAATCTTAATCGCCTTTGCAGTGCAGCATAGTCATAGGTTCTGGGGATTCAGGAGTGGATATATTTGGAAGTGGGACATTATCCTGTCTATCATAGTTACTTTAAAATCATGTCAGGAGCTGGGACTGTGCTTGCATGGCATGTGAAAGGCCCTGGATTTGATCCCTAGTACCACAAAAATAAAATAAAATAATAAAATCTTTGTCAGACAGTTCCAAAATCTGTATTATCTCAGTATTGGTATCTGTTTATTGCCTTTCCTCATTCAACCTGAGATTACCTTGGTTCTTGCTATAGCACATGGTTTTCAGTTGTATCTTGGACACTTGGAGTATGATGTTATGAGACTGTGGATCTTACTTCTATCCTCCATATTAGCGACATTTTCTGATAGCATGCCAGCAGAGGAACGAGGGTGTCACTTCCCTGGATGTTCCACTTGACCTCTGCTGGCCTGGCTCACCTCTTGGCCTGGGTCCCTCGCTACAGTCAGGCCAGAGTAGAGCTCGGGCCCCTACCTGGCCTCTGCTAAGGAGGAGTGGGAGGAGACCAGGACTCTCTTGTTTGGCTGCAGTAGGGTGGATGTTATCTGAAGTGTTCTGTCTTACTAGGCCACTCCTTTCCTGCCACTTTGGCTAGAGAAAGAGGATTTTTTCTTGGTACCTTTCTGATCTGCTCTTAGTCTGTTTTCAGTTGCTGTAACAAAATATCTGAGACTGAGTAATATATAAATAGAAGTTTGTTGGGCTGGGGATGTAGCTCAGTGGCACCGTGCCTGCCTGGCAAGTGCAAGGTCCTGAATTTGATCCCCGGTACAGAAAAAAAAAAAAAGGTTTGTTCAGCTCATGGTTCTGGAAGCCCAAGAGCATGGCACAGCATCTGCTCACATCTCCTCAGGGCCTCTTACTGCAGCATAAAATGAGGGAGGACACCTCAGGGCAAGATGGGGTGACATGTGTCAGCTCAGGTCTCCCTTCTCAGTATAATGCTGCCAAACCCAGCCTGGCATGGTAGCATGCCTGTAATATCAGGAGGCTGAGGCAGGAGTATCACCATGAGTTTGAGGCCAGTCTGAACCACATAGAGAGTCCCTGTCTCAAAAAAAACAAAATAAAACCGTATTACCCCTAGTACATGTTGAAGGCCATGCCCTATGGCCTGCTCTAATCCTGATCACCCCCCAAAGGTCCCACTGCTAAATACCGTCAGCCTGCAGATTTGGGAATTGAGTTTCCAATACACGGAATTTAGGGCCCACACTCAAGCTTCTGCTTGCCCCCTTTGGCATTTCTGGGTCACCACCTCCTGCAGGACTCAGGTGGGATGTTTCAGGCAGAAGCCCAGGAAGCTCTCCTAGTGTCATTTCTTGTCTTTCAAGGTCTCTAGCCAATCTGTCTTCTCTCCACCTTCCAGAGGCTTCTGGATACACTTGGTGGGAAGAATAGGGAGAAATGTATACTTCCTCTTTTCCCAGGGCCACCAGGACAGCCTTCTGTTTGTTTTGTTTTGGTTTTTTGAGACAGGGTCTCACTATGTAGTTCAGGGTGGTCTTGAACTCACTATGTAGCCCAGGCTGGCCTCAAACTCACAGTGATCCTCCTGCCTCAGCTTCCTGTGTGGGATTACAGGCATGCACCACCACGCCCAGCCCCATTGGCCTTTTTTTGTAAAGGACCACAGTGGTTGTCGTGTGGAGAGATGACTGCTGAGGACCGAGGGTGCAGTGAGAACACTGCTACTGAAGGCTGCCCTGGGGTGCTGGGGGCAGGCTCCTGTAGTCCCACAGTGCCAGCCACAGGAGCGTGTCAGGAAGTGGACCTGTGTGTCTCATGCTCTTCTGGCCCATCCTGCCGCCAGTGTCAGGGCAGCTTGGTACACCAGTCCCTGAGCTCAGAGGAGCAGGACTTGGGAAGCCTGGTTCACCAGCATACCTGGGGCATCCGTTACAGGAGCGAATCCAGCCACGGACCTGAGAGGGGCGGGCTTCCTCGCTCTCCTGCACCTGCTGTACCTGGTGATGGACTCAAAGACCTTGTTGCTGGCCCAGGAGATTTTCTGCCTGTCTCGTCACCATATCCAGGTGGGCTTCGGAGGGAAGCAGAGGAGAGGGTATGGTGTTTGAGCCTGGCAGACAGGAGGACCTCACAGCTCGACATCTCCCGTTGCTGAGGGCACTTGGGACGGTGGAGGCAAACCAGGAAGGGGCTTCCCTGTCAGCCTGGCCTGTGCTGGGACCTGAGCTACACCTCCAATAGCTGTGGCCTCAGCTGGCTAGAGCCCTGGTATCCCCACCTGCAGATGGAAGTCATGAGATTTTAGGTGGCTCATTGGAAAAATCAAATGGAATAATGTGCAAGCACTAGGCGCATGGTGAGGCTGCTCCTTCCCCTCCCTGCTCTCCCATGACATCCTTGCATGGTGTTGGAAGGTTCTCCTGACCTTGAAGGGGAGAACTGGCCTTCAGGTGACCTGGGGACTTACTGATGGGCCAGAGCGGCCTTGGTGGCCTCTTCCTTTCTTTTTTAGTTTTGGTACCGGGGAATGAACTCGGGTCCTTGTGCTTGTGCAGCAGTCAGTGAAACCACTGAGCTAAATCCCCAGCCCTTTTTTTTTTTTGGTACCATGGATTGAACTCAGGACCTTGCACTTGCAAGGCAAGTGCTGGAACCACTGAGCTAAATCCCTGGGCCTGGCCTCTTGCTTTCTATCCAGCCCTACCTTCTCAGGAGAGAGCTGATGGTTTTCCCAAGGAGTAAAGGGTAGTGGCCAGCTGACCTGCTTCCTTCCATGTGTCCATCTGGATTCATTGGACCTGGAGTTCATTCACTTGCTGAGTGAAGACGGACTCAGCATGCCCCATGCCAGCTACTTAGGGCTCTCGGGGTCCAACAGCGCACAACCCTGACTGGATCCTCTAGCAGAGACACAGCACAGAAGCTTCCTTTGGCTTTACAGGAAGTAGATATTGACCTGTTGGTTATAGAGGATGTTAGGAGGTGTAAGCGTGAGGGGAAAGGGCATGCAGGAAGGCCAGGAGAAGAGGTGGGGAGGGGGTGATGGTATTTTTGGGGCATCCGCAGAGCCCCCGTAAGACATGAACCAAGACGAGACAGGCCTTGGAGGACATAGGCTGTTGGCCAAACTGCCTTTGGGGGAGAACATTCTAAGGCAGAGGGAGAAGCCAGAGCAAAGGAAGGGTATCCAGCCCATGCCAGGAATGGTAGGGATGGCAGCAGGAATGGAAAGAACACAGAGTGCACAGTAGAGGCCATGGAGCAGCCAGCAGGATGACAACAGCCTTGCAGGCCACAAGAAGGACTATGGGTTGACACTGAGTGAAAAGGGGAGCCACTGCTTCCTTTTTTTTTTTCAATACTGGGAATCGAATCCAGGCCCTTTGCACTGAACTGCATTTTATTTATTTATTTGTTTGTTTGTTTGTTTATTTATTGAGATAACAGTCTTGCTAAATCACTATTTGCCCAGGTTGGACTTGAAGTTCCAGTCTTCCTGCCTCAGCCTCCCAGAGTGCTGGGATTACAGATCTGTACCATCAAGCCCAGCTCAGCTCACAATTTTTCTTTTCAGTCCTGGGGACCTAACCAGGGCCTCCTGTGTGCTAGGCAAACTCTCTACCACTGAACTACATCCCTATCCCTTTTTGTGTTATTTTGAGAGGGTCTTGCTAAGTTACTCAGGCTGGCCTCAAACTTGCAATCCTCCTGCCTCAGCCTCCCTGGTAGCTGGGATTTCAGATGTGTGCCACCTTGCCAGGGAGGGCTCTCCTTATTATTCAAATTCGAGATGACTGGTTTGGACCAGTATTTTCAGAGGCAGTGATGAGAAGTGGTCAGATTCTGGCTGTCAAGTCTTGCATGTGCAAGCTTAAGAGAATAGAGCCAGCATGTTTTTCCGATGGAGTAGATATGAATTGGGGACAAGGAAAGAAGTTAATGATTTTTTAGTCTGAGCAACTGGAGTTGGCATCAGTTGGTAAGAAAGAGCAAGTTTGAGGTTCAGTTCTGTCATGTGTTTAGAGGTCTTCAGATGTGTAAGTGGAGAGGTCAGTAAGCAGTTAGATCTGTGAGTATGAAACTAGGGGAAAGTTCTGGGCTAGAGATTAAAATTATGGAACTGCCAGCACATGCGACTCTGAGGATGCTGTCCCCAGGCCAGCAGCATCAGCCCCTGGGAGCAGCTTGTTAGAAATGCATATCTGGCCAGGAGTGGTGGTGCATGCCTGTAATCCTGCCTTCCAGGGAGGCTGAGGCATGAGGACTGCAAGTTCGAGGCCAGTCTGGGGAACTTGGTGAGACCCTGTCTCAAACTAAAAAATTAAAAAGGGCCAGGGATCTCAGATGTGTGGAAGGAAGGAAGGGAGGAGACACATCCTGCAGCCCCTCTCCAAACCTCCCAAATCAGAAACCCACCAGTGGGCTGGAGTCATGTTGTCGTCAGGCCTGCATGGACTTCTGGGAGCCTCTGACACAGATCTGCCATGAAGTCTTGGCCTGGAGGGAGGTTTCCAGGCCATGAGTGCAGACTGAGCAGCTCCAGCACTAAATGGCAGAGATGGGAAGGAAAGTAAGAGGCACGTGTGTGTGTGTGTGTGTGTGTGTGTGTGTGTGTGTGTGTGTTCAGGTGAGGGAGGGGTATGCTGTCAGAATTACCTTGATGGGAACATTTTCAGTGGGTGTTAGAGACACAGGCGCTGCTGTAGATTGAGCGCAAGAGGGGATGGGAAGGATTAGAGATAGTAAATCTGAACAACTTTTTCAAAGAACCTTTTTGCAAAAGAGAGCTAAAAAACAGGGTGGTATTGGGAAAGGATATTTTTTAGTAATTTCAAACGTGCAGAACCATTGCAAGTGGGCAGTATCATTGGAGAACGGGAAAATGAGAGCTGGTGACTCATATGGAGGAGTGGGGAGAGTGGTCTGGCCCCCAGCCCCGGGACAGGAGGGCAGGCAGAAGAGCCCGTCAGTGCTCAGCAGTGCCACCTGGAAATGTGCCTGCAGAAAGCAGGTCCTTAGATGAGCTGAGCACTTATGTATAGGGACATTGCTGGGAGTGGCAGCACTGTTGTGCCAGGAGTGATGCACATTGAGCTCTGCCACATGCCAGGGCCACGGTGGAATGACTTTGGGAGTAGGGGAAAGGTGAAAGGTGGGGACAGACAGTGACCCAGAGCCTCATGGGCGTGGCCTGCAGGAACCTGCTGACTGGGAGTCTGGGGGAGGGGCTTGCTGTGACCTGGTGAAGGGGCACAGAGAATAAAGGAGACTGGGCCTGGTGCATCAGAGAGTAGAGAGTAAGCGGGGCAGGAAAGCTGAGTGTTGAACGAAGGAAGTGGGTGTGGTGGGACCCACTGACTTCTAACTGTGGGGTCCGATTGTCTTGGAGAGGCATAGCCTTTGACCAAGGCAGTTTAAATTTTTTTGTGTGTACTGCTGGGTATAAAACCCAGGATGCTTCTCCACTGAGCCACAGCCCCTCTACCACCTCTTTTTTTTTTTCCAGACAGTCTCATTGAGTTGTCCAGAGTGGCATCAGACTTGTGATCTTCCTGCCTCAGTCTCCTAAGGAGCTGGGGTTACAGGCATATGCACAAGGTCCAGCTTAACTTTTTTTTTTTTTTTTTTGGTACTGGGGATTAAATCCAAGGCCTTCACACTGAGCTACATTCCCAGCCTTTTTAAATTTTTTATTTTGAGACCAAATCCCTCTAAATCACTAGATTTAGTCTAGGCAACACTTTTTAGTGTTTTTTTTTGTTGTTTTGTTTTTGGTACCGGGGATCGAACTTGGGTCCTTGTGCTTGCGCAGCAGGCGGTGAAACCACTGAGCTAAATCCCCAGCCCTAGGCAACACTTTTTAGGACTGAGGAAAATGCTGAAGAAAAGAGACATTTCACTCTGAAATCCAGTTTTTCACTGCTTTTTAAGCAGGCTTTGTAAGAATGTTTCTGGGAGTGGATGAACACTAAGTTTAGATGCTCCTTTATGTGGCTACCTATTCCTGCTCCCATATTTATTTTTATACTGAAAGAAGAGGAGGGGCAATATCATGCCAGGATAGATGATACAAAGGGACGGACAGATAAGGCATAAATGCTATTGACTGCACTATCCCTCTCCAGCCAGAAGGAGCAGGTGAATGTCTATAAACACTGCTTGGCCTGCAGTCAGGCTGAGAAGTCTGCATATGTGATCCTGATGAATGTTCACAGGGAGTGGCATGGACAATGAGGTGATAGGTAATGTAAACTGTAGACAATAGAGCTTGTGTCATAGTTTTTGCTAATGATTAGTGACTCTACCCTGTGTGGAGCTTGGGTCTGGTCCCAAGACCCTCCCTCGGGTGGGGTGCTGGGCTGGGAGGACTCAGGATGCTGCATATCGTGATTCACACAGCTTCAAGTTAGCACAGTGCAAGCAGAGTCAGCAAGGGACGCTGTGCTCAGGAAGCCAGGTGCTAATGTGTGAGCAGCCTCTCCTGTGGAAGTCATCAGCCGTGCATTTATGCTACTGTTTGTCATGGTGTGATGCTGCCCCTTCTGAGTTCTGTCTAGAAAGAAGGCACTGTACGGAAAGCACAGTATAGTATTTCTCCAGCATCAAATTGGGTGCCACATACAAAGCGTTGCCAGTTAGGGAAGCTCACTGGGGACTCGGTGCCCAAGGTTTCCCTGGGACGCATCATTCAGGCACCATCTCCCTAGCATGGACCCAAGTTCCAAAATCGGGGAAAGCAGGTGTTCAGCATAAAACTTGTTCACAAGCAGTTCAGGAACAGTGAGCCACCCTTATCTCAGAATCCAAGTTCTCAGGCCAGGGGTGTGGTGCACCCCTGTAATTCTGGCACTCTAGGAGGCTGAGGCAGGAGGATCTCGAGTTTGAGCCCATCCTGAGGGACTTAAGGGATCAGGATGTTCAAGGACTGGAAAACTAGCTTGGGGCTGTGGACCCAGGCTGTGGAGCAGAGAACTTCAGGTGGACTTGAGGAACAGAGAACTTGAAAGCAGAAAACTTCAGGTGGAACTTGAGGTGGACTGAGGAGTCCACCTCATCTTCCTCATCTGTAAGAGGGTAGGACATTTATTGGGAAAACTAAGAATGAGCACCAAGATATTGGCTGCTGCCCGCACAGCCATGATCATCTTCAGGTCTTATCATGCTGCTGATGACAGAAAGCACAGGGAGAGCTGGCCAGCCGCTGACCTGCTCCCCCCTCCCTTCCAGCAATTCCCTTTCTGCCTGATGTCTGTGAATATCACACGCATGGCCATCCAGGCCTTGAGGGAGGAGTGCCTCTCCAGGTGAGTCCCAGCCCTGCCTCATTCTCTGCTGCTCTGTTCCTCCCCTGCTGGTCCCCAGGTTGTCTCTCGGCCCATCTCTCCTCCTGCTCCTGACCCAGGTTTGAGGCTGTCTAGGCCATGGTGGGGCCTCCTGGGCTGGGGCTGGCTTCCCTGGGGACTGGGGGCGGGGAGGGAGGGCACTCGGGTTCAGCCTTTGTGGCCCGTAGGGAATGTAACCGACAGCAGGTGGTCATCCCAGTGGTGAACAGCTTCTATGTTGCCACTTTCCTCCGCCTCGCGCACATCTGGAGGACCCAGCAGAAGACCATCTCCGACGCAAGTTTTGTCCTCAAAGGTGCGTTCAGCCTCCGAGCACCTGTGTCCCAGGCCCAGAGACCGCAGTTCCTGCTCCTGGCCGCTGTCCATCAGCTCACCCCCTGCAGCTTGCCGGTCCCTCTCCTCTCCCTTTCTGGCTGTGCACCTGTGTCGAGCATTATTTGCTGATCACCTACCTGGGTGGGCTCTTCAGAGTTGAGATTGGCCCAGATGGGGTGTGGTGTGGTCCCTGGGCTCCCCTGGCTCCTCTGCCTCCCCTCTGGTGCTCTCTTCATCTTTGGTGATGCTTGTGCCTTTGTTGCCCCACAGTAGTGGTTGGGGGCCTCACTGGAGCTGCTGGGCTTGAGGCCCTGGCTACTGGGCTGTCCAAAGCTCCTTAAGCCTTGCTCCCCATCCTGTGTTCCAGACTTGGAAGTGTGGGCCAAGAAGAACCCCCGGCAGTTGCTGAAGACCCTGGAGATGTACCTGGCGCGGGTGTCAAAGGGACAGGTCTCTTTGCTGAGGCCACAGAAGTCCCCTCCCACCAGGGACCTCAGCTTCACAGGCGTGTGTGACCTGCAACCTCACGCATTCGAAGGCTCAGGCCTGATCTGACCGACCCCAGGACCCAAGCGTTGGTCCACTGGTGCTTCAGGAGGGTGCGTGGCAAACCATGTCCCACACACCCTGACAAGTTGGTCCCTTCCTGCCTCAACAGCTGAGACGAGGACACTGGGCTTGGCTGGAGAAATAACCCCCGCGCATGTGCAGTCGGGCCTGAGCCCTTCACACAGGCTGCTTCTAGAGCAGGGATTGTCTTGCTACTGAGTGACTCCAGTATCCCGTCCCATCCCCCAGCAGGGCCCCAGCTCCAGGGATCTTAGAGGAAGTGGATGGGTTGCAAGATGGGGCTGCCCTATCTGGACACTTGCACAGCCCACCTGGAAGGAGATTTCCCAAGTAGAAGCAGCCACGATCCCGACTTCCCAGCAATACTCAGGCTTCAGCTGTGGTTGGAATTTGAAGGGGAAAAGGTAACAACAGCTGCGGCCAGCAGGGGGCAGCACAGACCTGGGAAGCCGCTGGCCTTTCCGCTGGATGCTGGCCCCACCTCTTCTCCCCTAGTCCCTGCGAGGTTTAGATGTGGATATGAGCTCTGGGTTAGGTGACCCCACTGCTGCCCCATCCCAGCCCCTCATATCTTCGGCTCCTCCTGTGGAGGCTGCCTGGTCCCTGAGGATGTTTTCCGCCTGGTTGAGGGAAGGAGGAATTTGACTGCAACCAGCAATTTTAGAATAAAAGAATTGCTATAATGTGAGTGTCCAAAGTGTTGTCTTTTGTCCTAGTTATCCGGTTATCAGCCCCTGCTTACGTTCCCAGGAGGGCCGAGGTGGCCCTGGCTCTTGGCTGGTGAGTCCATGCTGGGTTTTCCCACCTGGCTTCTGGGCACACTGGGCTTTGTCTGCTGTCCTCCTCACTGGGGCCGAGGGTGACAAATGGTCACCCTAGTGCACAAGGGAACGCCCTGACTCCTGTCTGCAGGGTGCATGCGTCTGGTCACAGCCCCTGCAGGTTACTTCCTGTCGTCTCTGCCAGATATGAACCAAGGCTTTGTGGCCCTGGCTTACTCCCTCCTGAATCCTCGCTGAGCAGCAGAGATGGGCGGCACCTAAGCATGGTGGGCCAAAGGCCCATGAGAAACCTGCAGCGCAGCTCCAGTCCTGCGCGGTGCCAGGTTGGGGACAGCATCCCCTTCTCTTGTTTCCCTGCTCTGAGCCTACAAGCTTCACTCAGCTGAGCCAACTGTGTGTGCATGGTGGGGACACATGGGCCTCTGTGGGGCAGCGGTGGCCCGAGTGACACTTTCTACACGAGAGTGCTCATGGCTTCAGAACGGCGTCAGCAGTGACACAGTTGTGGTTCTGCTGAGAGACTGGGTGTGGAAGGCAGGGGACAGACTCTTTCAAAGTAGATGAAAAAGCAGAAGCTGAGGCAGGAGGGTCACAAGTTGAGACTCCAGTCTGGAAAACTCAACAATTTAGCCGAAATAGAAAATTCAAAAAGGGATGGGGATTTGGCTCAAGTACATAGGCCCCCAGGACCAAAAAAATCCTAATCTGTATTTTTCTTGGGAAAAAGCCTGGGCTTTCCATGGGAAACTTAAGATACCCCATAAATCTAAAAATGTAAGATTGACCACATCATTTACTCTGTCCCCTTTTAAAATCCACCTGGGGAACCTGATCCTGCGCAGACTGAGGTGGGTGCCTGGGGTCTTCATGAAGAGGATAGGGAGGGAGATGTACAGCGAGCTGACTTTTCTTTTTTTTTTTTTGGTACCAGGGATCAAACTCAGGTCCTTGCACTTGCTCAGCAGGTGGTGAAACCACTGAGCTAAATCCCCAGCCCCAAAAGCTGACTTTTCTATGCTTCTTGGCACAAACTCAGCAAGAGCCTAAACCAAGAGCATGAGCTGGGGGCAGATGGGGAAAAGTAGCTCACTAGGCTCGGAGGCAGTGAGGGCTGGACCTGGGCTACTCTCGCCTGGCGCTTTTCCTGTACCCCAAAGTGGCCCTGGCCCATCAGTCAGACACAACACAGTGTCTGTGAGGAACAGGCAGACCTCGGGACAGCTGTCAAAAAAGTCCCTTTGCATTTTTGGGGGGAGGGGGGTGCTAGGAATCAAATCCAGGATATCATGTAGGTGTAATTGAAAACAGGTATTTAAATTTTTAAAAATTTATTACTGTGAAAGACACAGTACCATTAATCCCCTTCAAAATCCCCCTTGCTTTGATCACACTTTCTGAAGCACTTTGTTTTTTCTGAGACAGGGTCTTACTGTAGCCCAAACTGACCTTGACCTTGAGGTGATCCTCCTGCCTCAGCCTCCACAGTGCCAGGATTACAGATGTGTGCCACCATACCCAGCTCTCTGAAGCAGTTCTTCAAATCCTCTTTTGTGCCTTTGCAATGTGGATTAAAAATATAGTGAATGCTGCTGCCAAGCACCATCCAATGGAAAAGAAGCCTTGTAAAAATATACATTGTTTCGCCACACAGGCACAAGGACCCGAGTTGGATCCCCAGTACCAATTAATTTATATATATATTTTATTATAAAGGCCAACCTGTATTTT